TATTTACATTACAATTCCTAACAGTAGCAAAATTATAGTTATGGAAGTAGCAATGAAAATAATGTTATGGTTGGGGGGTCACAACAACATGAGGAACTGTATTAAGTGGTCGCAGCATTAGGAAGGGTGAGAACCACTGTTCTATATTATAAACTGCCCTCTTATAAACAGGTATCACAAACAGCACTCTGTATTATAGAATCTAAATCCCCAAATATCAGTAAGAACTAACTAGCCATTCATGGATGAAACTAGAGGAGGAAGGAAACATATATCAGGAAACTGCCTCATCAGTCCAATTTTGATGGTTTCAAATGCTCATGTTATAGCTAATTAAGGAGATCACACAAACTAAATTTGATCAAGAAGCTAAACAATGTTTCAAGAAGAAAAGATTTTGGAATGGAGAAAGGAATGCATTTCAGAAGACCCTGATGCCAGGCACTAGGGCGATTTAAAAGATATCAATTTGCAATTTCAAGTGGATGCTTTTTTAAAAAAGGAAGGGAAGCAATCCTTACTGCATTTCAACCTTCAATCCATATATTTATCAGGCTTCTGGGTATTACAACAGATTTGCTATTCAAAGGTCACTGCATTTGTACAGTTGGCTCTCTGAATCCACGGATTCTGTATCCGAAGATTCAACCATTCATGGCTTGAGAATATTCCAACGAAGGAATCTGAAAAGCAAACCTTGATTTTCTCATTTTATATAAGAGAGGCCTTTTTACAAGACAAAGGTACTCCTGGTCAGTCAGAAAGCCGAACAGGGTATAGGGTTATAGCCTGTGCTAGACGGGGTTATACTCCCTATGAAATCACAGGGTCGCAGCTTGGGAGTTCTCCTGGATTCATCACTGAGCCTGGAACCCAGGTCTTGGCGGTGGTTAGGAGAGTTTTTGCACAATTAAAACGTGTGCGCCAGCTGCACCCATACCTTGAGAAGCCAGACTTGGCTACGGTAGCCCACGCTCTTGTTACATCTTGAATAGACTACTGCAACGAGCTCTACATGGGGTTGCCTTTGAAGACTGTTTGGAAGCTGCAAGTAGTCCAACGGCAGCCAGATTGCTCACCAGAGCAGCGTACAGGGACCATACAACCCCCCTGTTATGTCAGCTCCACTGGCTGCCAGATCGCTACCGAGCACAATTCAAAGTGGTGGCTTTAGCCTATAAAACCCTAAACGGTTCTTCTTGCCCAGTTTACCTGTCAGAATGTATCTTCCCCCATGAATCATTTCAGACATTAAGATCTGCTGAGAAGGCCCTGCTCTTGGTCCCACCCACTTTGCAGGTACAACTGGTGGAGACGAAAGACCGGGCCTTCTCAATGGTGGCCCCTCAGCTATGAAACTTTCTCCCCAGCAATATAAGGTTGGCGTCCTCCCTCCTGCTTTTCAGAAAGAAAGTTAAGACCTGGCTGTGAAACCAAACGTTTGGGGAGTAGTACAACCAAAGTGCAATATATACAAATCACCTTGGACTATAATTGCAGGACTAGGTGCTACGTTTTTAACAATCATTCAATTATATTTATATGCTTTATTCTTTGATTTTAATGTTTAATGTGTTATGTATTTGTATGCTTTTATGTTTTCAATGTGGCATTCAATTATTGTCAAACTAGAAGCCTCTCTGAGTCCCCTCCGGGATGAGATAGAGTGGGGTAAAAATGCAGTAAATAAATAAATAAAGTTTACTACACCATTATATATAATGGGGCAAACATTAATGGATTTTGGTATTCAGGGGATCTTGGAACCAAACTCCAGTGCATAATGAAGGCCCACTATAAATGCAAAAACTATTTACTTGCTTGACTTGGATGCTGAGCTAATGCATCACATATGTCCACCCTACTGACTGAATATGACACTGGTCAACTATGTCCTATTGACTTTATGTCACAATGGGTAACATGAAGTATCTCAGTAAAATATCTGTCACAAAACCAAAAATCTGAGCACACATAGAAAATCCCCATGTGTGCAAGCTGCTTATTTTGGCTCATTGGAGAGGCAATCCCTTGTAAGATACTGAATCCCCAAAAGAACAGGGCTATCAACATGTTTGAGAGTTGGACTATGACTCTGAAGACAAGAATCCAAATCGCTACTCAACCATGAAAACTCACAGGTTGGTCTTGGGCAAGTCACATCCCTCAACTTCAGAGGAAAGCCACCTTGAGGGAGTCACACCACTTCATGATAGAATAGGTCTTGGGAAACAGTACGATAAAACTAATATTTTGTATGACCAACTGCATATCCAGATGTATCAAGCATGCTGTCTAGTTGAAAAACTACTCTTGAGCATCAGAGTGGATACACAAATCGGTTTGTTAAAAGATTTACTACAAAACTTTGCTGTGGTATTTGAAGATTTGATAGTGATTTGATCATTACATTGATATTATAACTTTCCTCCAAAGAGTACAAGGTGGTGCACACAGTCCTTCCCTTCCACTTGGTTTTCATAGTAATTCACCAAAGTGTACAAGGCAGAAAGATAATGATTGGTCCTAGATCATGTATGGAATTTATTTGACTGAGTGTGATTTTGAACCTAGAACTCACTAAGATAGTTATACCTTTATTCAAGGAAAACATTTTGTATTCTGACCAGAAGCCACTGACTGCTTCACATAGAATACATATTATTTTGTCCTTCAGCTATGCATTTCTGGTTTTGTTCTAATCAAATATACACAATTTCAGCCTAAGGATGAAAAGGAATCCCTGTGCAGGGATAACTAGACTACTATCTGAAGTATTATCTAGAAACCATACAACACGGATTTAAAGGAACTGCTTTGGGTATCAATATCCTTCCAATTTGAATTTAAGACACTGCTGAGAACATTTAATGCCATAAATGGGAGACCTCAGTACTGAAGGAACACATACTGTATCCCTTTTTATATGCTTGCTTGAGACCTGCTGGAAAGCCCTGCTTCTCCACTTTCGGAGATGCAGAAGAGGGCCTTCTCTCCTGTGGCACTCCAGCTATTGAACTGTTCTCCCCTTATAGATCCAAATGACGGTTCCCACAGTTTGATTCTAACACCATGTTAAAATGAGCTTTTGTATTAAAAGCTTCGGGGCATTTGTGATTTCATCGAGCTGTGTGTTCATACTTCAGTAACTTCAGTTAAACTATTTAATGTGATTTCAAATACAACCTCTGTATTTATGCAAGAAATGTTTTAAGACCCACAGAGAGTGAATACCTGAAACCACAGATAATAGTGAACCCTATATTTTGAATGTACTTGTTCTGGAAGTATGGCATAGAACAGGAGTGCACAAACTTTTTAAACAGAGGGCCAGGTCACAGTCCCTCAAACTGTTGGAGGGCCGGATTATAATTTGAAAAAACATGAATGAATTCCTATGCACACGGCACATATTGTATTTGTAGTGCAAAATACACTTTAAAAGATACAATAATTAAAATGAAGAACATATAAACTTATTAGTATTTCAATGGGAAATGTGGGCCTGCTTTTGGCTGATGAGATAGGATTGTTGTTGTTGTTGTTTGCTTTCAAGTCATTTCAGACTTAGGTTGACCCTGAACGAGGGTCGGGTAAATGACCTTTGAGGGCCATATCCGGTCCCCGGGCCTTAGTTTGAGGACCTCTGGCATAGAATAACACTGGAAGACCCAGAGAGGCCCACAAATACTTCCATTTGTGGATCTCATTAGGTCCTCCAAATGCTATTCTATGGTATGCTTGGGTTGGAAGAATACCATAGAACTGCACTGAAGGGCCAGAAAAGCCTGTAAGCAGCACTTTAGGGCTGTGGCTTTTATGTTGTTGTTGTTTAGAGAATGGGTAAATGAAACTGTGGATTTAGAGGCCATGTATAAGGGGGCCATACTGTATTTAAGTTACTCCTTACTGTTTTACATTCAAAAATGGTATTATTTGTATGCCACCCTGGGTGCATTTCCATGACAGAATTAATGCAGTTTGACACCACTTTAACTGCCATGACTCAATGCTGTGGGAGTTGAAGTTTGGTTAGGCAACAGCACTCTTTGGCAGACAACCCTAAAGACTGTGTGAAGCTATAACTCTCATGATTTCATAGCACTGAATGATGACAATTAAATTGGTGCATTGATTTTACAGTGTAGTTACACCCCCTGAGATCCCATATGGCATAGGCACAATGTGAACGTTTGAATAAATAAAACAATAAATATAATTACTTGTATTGGACTCGGCCTCAAGAAAAGTAACCTTTTCATACCTCTCAAAACTTGTGGAAAAAATGTAAACTCCACTGTGAACATATGTAAATTTGCAAGGCTTATCCAACTGCACACAAAACAACACACGTTTTAAGCTTTGAATAGTGTATAACTAAGAATGTCCAGAAGAGCATTAGTCACTAGGGGAAAACTGGATAAATTATGAAAATACACAACTTAGGAAAATACTTTAGAAACTGCACATATTTCATTTCAGGAAGAAAATACAGTGTCTATAATTTGATGCACAACAAAGCTGGGGAGAATATGAAGGTTGGGTTTGGGAAAAAGTCAACAGACAAGTTTCCACAACCTTATTCATTCCCATCTATTCATATGTGAATTCCTTGCATAAAGAGTAGGTAACAGTAGAAACTAATCAAAATATAAACGAGTTTCACAAATCAATACACTTAAAATAAAGTATACACCGACACAACCCTAACTTGGTTCGAAAGCTGCCACTTTCTAAAGGAAGATAATCAAAGTATAGAGGGGAAATATAACCAGCTGTTAAGTGCAAAGAAAAACATACAGCAAAGTCCGCACTGTGAAATTCACTTTTTCATAATTGCCAATAAAACTGTATGCAAAACTCAAAAATGAGCATAGAGAACAGAAGCAATTACAGTAAAATTAGATTTTGTGATGAGAAATGTAATTGGGCACACAAGACGCAAAGCATAATTTGAATAAAGGCAGTGCAGATATTTAGAACGAAAGATGATTTCATACCTCAAGTGGAGAGTCACAGAGGAACCGTGTAAACTGGATTAGGTATATTTATTAGACATCCGTGTCACCAAGGATACATGTTCAGCGTGTAGCAAAACATAAACAAAACAAGAAAGAGAAACAAGTAAGTAAATCTTATCTTAAATGTATTATTACGCTGTATTATTTACTGGAATGCATACTGTGCCTCATTTAACCATGGATTAAATCTGCAAATCATTTCAAAGTTGACTCGTTATGAGCCACTGACATCTTCGGAAATAATAAATGCAGCAACTGCAATGCTAAATTGCCTTCCAGTTTGAATCAAGAAGCAGTAGCAAGTTCAGCTTTTGGAAATTTATTTTTAGTGCTGTGCTATACATCAGACTGCTTTATAATGAACTTCATACATTTTAGTGCTAAGAAAGTTAAATAACTCTGTCAACAGAGAAGTCAGGTTTTGAACTGGTCTTCAGCGACTTGAAGGAGGAGATTAGAAGACATCAGCTTGGTCCTAATGAAACAGCTGTGTCAGCAAGGAACCTAAATGGCAGACCTGTTGAATGTGGTGCAGGGTGATCAGTTATGTCAATATTAAAAACGAGAGTCTCCCTTGCATGCTCACTTAGGTGCAGACTTCCTTTCAAACCCTAGACCAGAGTTTCTCAAACTGCTCCTCCAGATGTTTTGGAGTTCAGCTCCCACAATTCTTAACAGATGATAAATGGGCTGGGATTTCTGGAAGCTGAAGTCCAAAACATCTGGAGGACCACAGTTTAAGAAACACTGCCCCAGACTATCAGAAACTTCCAAAAATACAGGGAAGGATGCTGGCAGGTGAACAGTGTTCTTCTTAGGAGACTTGGTTCTGGCGCAGTAAGAGTCTGGCTACCTCCGTATCAACTACACAGATGATCTATTATTGGGAAACAGGCATTACACTATTTGCATCATGCCAATCTGATCCATGGAAGAGTTACTTGGAGGGTACATGATCAGGTTAGTCCAGGACTCAATTGACTACTTTTGATATCATCCTTTGGGGGGAATTGTCTTCCATATTGATTCTTGTCTTCTAGTGACTGGTAAACATTAATTATTTTTTAAAATTAATTCCTAACACATTTTAAAAGGATCTTTCCCTGTAAGTTGCCTTGGTGAAATAGAGCTAGGAAAAGTTCTGATTTTCAGATGGAATTTGAAGAATACCCTAGCCATTATAGCTAGGGTATTCATGCTAGTTTGGGTTTGTAGACACTGCAATCAAAAAAGTAACTTTTTGAATTCAGGTTAGGATCCTGATCAATTATAGTTAAGCTAATTTTGTGTTTCATTTTATTTGTTATAAAGGTACTGAAAAGTCAGCTCAGTGTATTTGCCAAGTAGTCCAAGTCTCAAATAAAGTCAACTGTGAAGACAATCAAAATAATTAACCAAATTCCAGTTTCTAATTAAAGATACTGATTAAAGAACCAAGCAAGAAGACATTTAAAGAAATAGGTCTAAGAAAATTACTGTTTGAATGGATCTAGGATATTGATGATCTAAAACAGAACTAAGAAAACCACCACATGACTGGTTGCAAGACATACGGTATTTCAACTGCACAGCTTGTGACAAAATTACATAAACAAGTTATTTATGCCTTATCTGGAAATCCGAAATACTCCAAAATTGGAAATTATACACATGGGTGGCTGAAGTAGTGACATCTTTGCTTTCTGGTGCTTCAGTATACATACTTCGTCCAATGCACTAAGTTAATAAAATATTTTGCATAAAATTATGTGTAGAATGTGTATATGAAACATAAATGAATTTTATCTTTAGATTTCGGTCCCATTTATAAGCTAACTCATTCGGCACATATATGTAAATACAAGTGAATTATAACAGAAAAGAAAATCATTAACCCAGTTATTGCATTAAAGCAAATATCAAGTACAGCTGAAATGGAAAGCAGTTCTATTAAGTGCAAGCTACCTGAAATCACGTTTTAAAAATAAGAATTGGGATAGGATTCAATGTATGAAGTGCCACAAATAATTTTAGAAAAACCTGCAAGAAAATAGCATTCAAGGATGCTAAATGAAATACACTGTAGACATTGGGACAGGATCTTAAAACTGGTACTTCTCTGCCCACACAGTTACATGTCCTTCCTCAGCATTTCCCATCAATCTGTCCTGCTGACTACATATTCTCCAGCCCACACCTGTATACTAGATAGTATCCTCCCGGGCTGTATGGCCATGTTCCGGAAGCATTCTCTCCTGATATTTCATTCTCTCCTCACAACCTCTGAGGATGCCTGCCATAGATGAAGGCAAAACTTCAGGAGAGAATGCTTCAGGAACATGGCCAAACAGCCCGAAAAACTTACAAGAACCCAGTGATTCCGACCATGAAAGCCTTTGACAATACAATACCAAATCTTTCCAAGAAACGGCATGATCTCAGGGTTGTTGTAACTTCCAATTTAAGGATATAAAGCAACAGCAACTACTCTGAGAGAAACTGGTCCACAATTTGTACATGTACCAGGTCAAGATATGCTTTTGTTCAGAAGGTAAATAGCAGGACATAATATCCTCATGTTTTTAAGCTTCTATTTTCCCCTGTGACTCTACACTATGGCTCAGTTCAGATACAATATTGCCTAAAATCCTTGGTCCAGAGGTGAGCTGACTGAACGTCGTGGGCAAATGATAATTTTTTTTAAGATGTGAGGAATCTTCTTTACTTGTGGCTCAATTCCAGCTCTTCTGGTAAATTTGAACTGATAAAGCAATAGGCATGAGAAGTATTGTACCAAGATTACTAAAACGCAAGTTGAATATGCTTCACACCCACATTAAATTATTTGTTCACCATGTCATTCCATTACAATGAATGATGATGCCACAACATGTTTTTCAGTCTTAACGATGCCATAAGGTATTATGCTATTTTATTTTTTTCCCAATATATCACATTGTTAAAGCTGTTAGGGTATTTATATAACACAAGTTACTCTTCCATTATAATAACGCAATATGATTAAAATAAGTATCCTGGGGAAAACCATTGCACAATTTATCTTTTCTAATATCATCTGATTTGGTTTAAGGATTGTTTCTTGTGCAGCATGTCTTGAGCTGAAAGGGAGCTGTAATTAACCTACAAAGAGTTGGTAAATATTTAGACAAGCACTTTGACAATTAAAAAAGGAGACTTCCATAAGCCTAAGCTGTCACTGAAGACAAGGGAACATCTATAGTTAGTGCTTTCAGAGTTTCACAAGCAAGGTGTTCAGAAGCCTGGATAATCTGCTGCCTTAAGACAGAGGCATGAGAAAATTGTTGGTTTCATTATCTAATTATAACCCTGAATCTGAGAGTAGTAATCCAGATTCCAAAGAATCAAGATTTGAGCTATGGATCTAAGCATCTATACGGTTGTGCTTGCTGTTCAAAGATTTCTAAACTGTCACTGGAGGGAAAGTAGCATATATTTGAATCTGAAAAGATGTTTCTAGAATACCAATTCTACTTTTAATTGATCAGTAAATGCCAAAAAGACAGTATAAACATTTTCTCACTTTCAAGATGTTATTTTAGAGTTCGTTCATATGTAGTTTAGTCTTGTGGCTACTGCTTTATTGCAAAAAAGTTAATACTCCAGAGACAGATTACGGTAGTAATACAGATTGAGTATCCCTTATCCAAAATGGTTGGGAACAGAAGTGCTCCACATTTTGGGTTTTATAATCTTTGCATATTCATAATGAGATGCAATCTCTTGGAGACTGCATTGAATTCTAAACATAAAATTGTTTTATGTTTCGTATACACATTGTAGACATAGTCTGAAGATAATTTTAAACACTGGTCTCAATAGGCTACTTTGAATATTTAATAACCTGGTGCATGAAACAAAGCTTTTATATACTGAAACATCAGAAAACAAAGGTCTTGCAACCTCATCCACCTATGTGGATAATTTTACATTTTGGAGTATTTCCCATTTCAGAATTCCAGATAAGGGATATTCAACTTTTAGTGCTGCTCCAAGATGTCTCCAATATAGAACAGAAAAGCTTTAAAAAAAAAGGTAAAAGATTATTCTTATTATTGTTTTATGAGGAATCAAGAGATCTATAATTTCTATAAATCAAGGTGAATTTCCCCTAAAGCCCTCCCATATTTTTTGTTGGTCATGGGGGTTCTGTGTGCCAAGTTAGGTCCAGGGTCCAGTGCTCTTTGATTGCAGGTGAACTTTACAATACCTACAATGGCTAAAAATCAAGGTAAATTCCCCACAAATCTCTCCAGTATATTTCTTTGGTCATGAGGGTTATGTGTGCCAAATGTGGTCCAGATCCACTGTCAGTGGGGGTCACAGTGTTCTGACTAGATACAGGGTGAACTACAACTTCCATCATTTGGAGTGAATCCCCCAAACTCCTTTCCAGTATGTTTATTTGCTGCTCAGTTCTGCTCTGTTTGTTGTGCAGACAGAATTGAAAAGAGTAGGAAGGGATTAACAAAGAGGCAGGGGGGAGATCATGCAAATTCCACATTAATGGAGAGAGTACGAAACACCATGATGTCTCTGTAGTGGAGGAAACATGTGAAATCTAGGATGAAATGGTCCCTAAATGAAAGCATTCCTTGGGTGGTGGTGTTTGGGAAGGACATTGGTGGGGTTGGGCTACATGTTCATTGTGCTTGCTATAACCTGAAATGTCATTGGAGTGGAGCCCCCGGTTGTGCAGTGGGTTAAACCCTTGTGCTGGCAGGACTGAAGACTGACAGGTCACAGGTTCAAATCCCGGGGAGAGCGCGGATGAGCTCCCTCTATCAGCTCCAGCTCCTCATGCGGGGACATAAGAGAAGCCTCCCACAAGGATGGTAACACATCAAAACATCCGGGCGTCCCCTGGGCAACGTCCTTGCAGACAGCCAATTCTCTCACATCAGAAGTGACTTGCAGTTTCTCAAGTCACTCCTGACACGACTAAAAAATTGGAGTGGGGGCTCTTAATGGCTCCTCAGCACTGTGGGTTAAAG